AAATATGTATTTTATTCAATTTTCAAAAATGTTATTTGTACTTAAATCTTTACAAAGAAATTTTTTTCGATAATAAATTTTAAATATTTATTAATTGATAAATTTTATTATTAATTTACAAGTTTTATAAAAGCTTATTTATTTGACACTTCAATTACAAGTTCACAAGATGTTTCTTTTTCTGGGTTATCAATTTCTTTCGAAATTTGATTTCCTTCTTAATGTTCTTAATTAAATTTTGTGTTTGACATATGATAATATTCATACTTTTTGCTTCGGTTTTTGCATTTTTGGAATAATTCTTATTTGTGACCATAACACCAATATGGTCTTTATGATATGTGTTTATAAGTGAATTAAAATCATCAATTTCATTATATCCTATATTTTTTAAGTTTCTATATTTATAATGAATGATAATTTTAAATTTTTCATACTTCTAAGTACATTAAACATGCAATATTCAATAATTACTTACATATTCATTTTTTTCATAATCATATACAATTAAAGAAGTTTTTATTGGAGTAACAGACATTTTATTATAATTTTCTAAAGATTTGTTTTAATTATTATATGTTTCGATATTTTTTTTTTTAACAAAAAATAGTTTATTTATATTTCTTTATAAATTAATAATTTAAGATTTTATTAATAATAATATGTATTTTACGATATTTAAATTTTACATTAAATAAAAAATAATAATAAAAATAAATTGTTTAAAAAAAAAATGAGAAGTTTAGTTTCATCACAATTAAATTATTATGATTACTTATCACATCTGCCACATAACGGCACTTCTCATAGATGTGTGAGGAGAGTTTGATTACAGGGGAGGACATGTACGGATCCCAGGCCATTAATGTACAATACCATAACTCTCAACTCTCAATAACCCAAGGGGAGGTGATTTAGCACAAATCCCTCTCAGTCCACTAGGAGTCCTATACAGAGTGTAATTATGTATAGTCTTTGTTTGAAATTCTTTTCTTGTTTTTAAGACCAACAAGAAAATAAATAAAAAAAACAACCAAGCCATGCTTCCACTCTACAACTTTCGTTTATCAAAGAGAAATTTGAACGGTCAAGTTGTACTAAAAACCGTCTGACGATATAAAGGAAAAAAGTAAAAGTTTACAACTTCTCTACTATAATTTCCAACAAACAACCAATTTTTGCGTATACAACATTTTATGCTTGTAATGTTTTAACCGACTTCGACATCCTAAGACCAGTACAGACATTAAAAATTATACAGAGGCCCTATTGTATATGAAGCCCTAGTTGTTTGTAAAATTCTTAGTATTCATTAAAGTCGTAAGAATAAAATTAAAAAAGTGGCGATTCAATTCATTTAATAACGATGATCAATTTTTATGTATGACAAAAATTTATTTATCCATTAAAGATAATCATGTATGATAATGTAGTTTATTTATGTATATTTGGTATAGATAAACAAAAAAAAACCTTAATATAGGAATGAAAAAAAAAATCGTTTACATATTTTTTTATATATTCTAGTTTAAAATTTTTAA